TGTGAAGGGCGTGCCGAAAAAGAAGGTGGAACCGCATGCGGGCGCAGCCACTGGGGCCTTCGGTGGAGCTCCCTATGGGGCCACGAAACGTGTGAGGGGTGTGCCAGAATGGGGGGTGGAACCGCATGCGGGCGCAGCCACTGGGGCCTTCGGTGGAGCTCCCTATGGGGCCACGAAACGTGTGAGGGGTGTGCCAGAATGGGGGGTGGAACCGCATGCGGGCGCAGCCACTGGGGCCTTCGGTGGAGCTCCCTATGGGGCCACGAAACGTGTGAGGGGTGTGCCAGAATGGGGGGTGGAACCGCATGCGGGCGCAGCCACTGGGGCCTTCGGTGGAGCTCCCTATGGGGCCACGAAACGTGTGAGGGGTGTGCCAGAATGGGGGGTGGAACCGCATGCGGGCGCAGCCACTGGGGCCTTCGGTGGAGCTCCCTATGGGGCCACGAAACGTGTGAGGGGTGTGCCAGAATGGGGGGTGGAACCGCATGCGGGCGCAGCCACTGGGGCCTTCGGTGGAGCTCCCTATGGGGCCACGAAACGTGTGAGGGGTGTGCCAGAATGGGGGTGGAACCGCATGCGGGCGCAGCCACTGGGGCCTTCGGTGGAGCTCCCTATGGGGCCACGAAACGTGTGAGGGGTGTGCCAGAATGGGGGGTGGAACCGCATGCGGGCGCAGCCACTGGGGCCTTCGGTGGAGCTCCCTATGGGGCCACGAAACGTGTGAGGGGTGTGCCAGAATGGGGGGTGGAACCGCATGCGGGCGCAGCCACTGGGGCCTTCGGTGGAGCTCCCTATGGGGCCACGAAACGTGTGAGGGGTGTGCCAGAATGGGGGGTGGAACCGCATGCGGGCGCAGCCACTGGGGCCTTCGGTGGAGCTCCCTATGGGGCCACGAAACGTGTGAGGGGTGTGCCAGAATGGGGGGTGGAACCGCATGCGGGCGCAGCCACTGGGGCCTTCGGTGGAGCTCCCTATGGGGCCACGAAACGTGTGAGGGGTGTGCCAGAATGGGGGGTGGAACCGCATGCGGGCGCAGCCACTGGGGCCTTCGGTGGAGCTCCCTATGGGGCCACGAAACGTGTGAGGGGTGTGCCAGAATGGGGGGTGGAACCGCATGCGGGCGCAGCCACTGGGGCCTTCGGTGGAGCTCCCTATGGGGCCACGAAACGTGTGAGGGGTGTGCCAACCGCATGCGGGCGCAGCCACTGGGGCCTTCGGTGGAGCTCCCTATGGGGCCACGAAACGTGTGAGGGGTGTGCCAGAATGGGGGTGGAACCGCATGCGGGCGCAGCCACTGGGGCCTTCGGTGGAGCTCCCTATGGGGCCACGAAACGTGTGAGGGGTGTGCCAGAATGGGGGGTGGAACCGCATGCGGGCGCAGCCACTGGGGCCTTCGGTGGAGCTCCCTATGGGGCCACGAAACGTGTGAGGGGTGTGCCAGAATGGGGGGTGGAACCGCATGCGGGCGCAGCCACTGGGGCCTTCGGTGGAGCTCCCTATGGGGCCACGAAACGTGTGAGGGGTGTGCCAGAATGGGGGGTGGAACCGCATGCGGGCGCAGCCACTGGGGCCTTCGGTGGAGCTCCCTATGGGGCCACGAAACGTGTGAGGGGTGTGCCAGAATGGGGGGTGGAACCGCATGCGGGCGCAGCCACTGGGGCCTTCGGTGGAGCTCCCTATGGGGCCACGAAACGTGTGAGGGGTGTGCCAGAATGGGGGGTGGAACCGCATGCGGGCGCAGCCACTGGGGCCTTCGGTGGAGCTCCCTATGGGGCCACGAAACGTGTGAGGGGTGTGCCAGAATGGGTGTGGGAGGGGGAGGAGGAGGGAGGAAGGAGAGGAGGAGGACGGAGGAGGAAGGAGGAACGCGGGGCGACGTCTCTTCAAAACGAGGACCCAACACCACAGGATGGTTGGGAAAAATCCTCATCTTCCTTAGTATCCTCCTCCCCTCCCTCTCCTCCTCCTCTTCCTCCTCATCTACTTATTAGTGTTAGTATGTTTGTTCGGCTTCTTCTGATTATTATTATCAGTATTGGAATTCGCATGCGTAGTCTTATTATTACTAGGCGTGCTATCATCCCTCTTGCTATGCCTATTCTTGTTAATGTGTATTACTCGTCGTCTTAATCGTATACGCCTTTTTCTTCTTAGTGTTATCCTCCTCCTCCTCCTCCTCCTCCTCCAACTCCTCCTCCTCCTCCTCCTCCTCCTCCTTCTCCTCCTCCTCCTCCTCCTCCTCCTCATCCTCCTCCTCCTCCTCCTCCTCCTCCTCCTCCTCCTCCTCCTCCTCCTCCTCCTCCTCCTCCTCCTCCTACCCCCCCCCCCACCCACCCCACCCACCCCCGACCCGCGTAAGTGTTGCACATGCTTACATCAATAGCCACTGAATCTCTGGAAGTCTAAACAGAGACCCCACTGTGGAAGCGAGCCGCCCGTCATCCGTGCAGCTGTTACTTGTCATCAGCCGTACGGCCGCTAAAAATGTCGGGGGGCCTCGAGCGATGGCCACATTAGGAGGGTGGAGAATGGGGACGGACGGCGGAGAAGGCAGGCGGAGGGCGGGCGGAGGGAGGGAAGCAAGGAGGAAGGAGGGCCGGAGGGAGGGAGGGAGGACGAACGAAGGAGGCGGAGGAGGAGGAGGCGGAGGAGGGAGGTCAGAGGCGGGCAGGAGAGAGGCAGAAGGGCGGAGGGAAGGGAGGGAGGAGGAGCAGCAGGGAAGAGGCAGGGACGAGGCAGGGAAGAGGCAGGGACGAGGCAGGGACGAGGAGGGAGAGAGGCAGGGGCGGAGACACGACGAGGACCGTGGGCGCGCCACGGCACGGGGGAGGGTGCGCGGGGCGGCCGACGAGGTCGTCGCCGCGGCGGGGCGGGGAGCAGGGCCGTCTGGGCAGACGAGCGCGAGAACTCGTCCCGCCCCGCGGTGCTGGCCGCCAGGAGGGGGCACCGCGGATCATCCCAGGCACCGCCCTCGCCCTTGAGCGACGGGCAGCGAGAAGGGTGGGGCTGGCACAGGGGGGGGGGGACATGGACCTACACCCTGCGAAATGCTTAAGAAATCATGGGTTAAGAAATTCAGAGTCTCAGAATTTGAACAAAAGCCCAGACTTTCTATTGAAATCTTAGGATTTACACTGAAACATTAAGAATAGTCGAGACTCTGGCCGAAAACTTAAGTGTTCTTAAGCATCGCCTAGGACCTAGAATCGGCGGCACATCGCCGACGGATCGGCGATGGGCCCCCGAATAGTGGGCCCGCACGGTCTTGGGCCCGTTCGGGCTATCGGGCCCCCAGCGTCGATCCGTGGGCGAGTCGGGGTCCCCCAAAAAGCCCATCCCCCCCAAAAGGCCCATCCCCCCCAAAGCCCATCCCCCCCAAAGGCCCATCCCCCCCTTTCGTTGCCCCTCATGAGGGCTTGAGGAGGGAGGCCCAGGGAGCCATGGCGAGGAAGTGGTTTGGGCCTTCCTCCGCTCCCGCCTCCCCCTTTCCTCCCGCGCCCTTCTCCACCGTGGGGGAGGGGGGGGGCTTAATGCGAGGAAGGCGCAGGCGTGGGGGAGCAGGACGAAAGATGAGGATGAGGAGCAGCAGCAGCAGCAGCAGCAGCAGCTGCAGCAGAGGGGAGGAAGATAAGGAGACGGGAGGCGATAAGGGAAAGGGCGAGGGAGGCAGGGGTAGAAAGGACGATCTGAAGGCACACGAGAAAAGAGAGAGAGAGAGAGCGTGAGGTGAGAACGATGTCGACGATGTCTCCGACGACAGCGACGACGGCGACTGTGGCAGATGAAGCGGCGACGCCGGCGTCGGCGGACGACGACGACGAAGACGACGACAACAACGACGACAACGGCGACGGCCAAGACGACAACGGCGACTGAGGCAGCGGCGGCGACGGCGGACGACAACCACGACAACAACGACAACGACGACGACGATGACGACGGCGGCGACTGCGGCAGAGTCGGCCACGGCGACCGCGGCGGCGACGGCGGCGGCGGCTGCGGAGGCGACGGCGACGGCGACGGCGACGACGACGACACCTTCGTCCAAGACGAGGACAGCAAAAATACCGCCCACGCCAACGACAACGACAGCGACACCGCCGACGTCAAACACTTCTTGACAGGCGACAGCGGCGGCGGCGTCCACTGGGATCGGCGCGGGTGTTGCTTAGGGCTTAGGGAGGTTATCAGTGGATGCCATGGTGGGTTGTATGTGGCCTAACTTAGCTTTGCAATGGCTTTGCACTCAGCTTTCTCTCTCACTCTCTCTCTCTCACTACAGATGCCCCCAATGCATTAGGGGCTTAACGATCCGGGCCAAGTGGGCTCCGCTAAGCGTTGTTATCCAAGCCTAAAAAGACACTTGAGGCACTAGTGACCCACCGATAAGCTAGGTTGGGCTAGACATAACCCACCATGATATGCGCTGACGACCCCACGACTGTGGAGGCCAGTCCACAAGAAACCGTCCACAAGAAACCCAGACCTGAGACCTCAGGATGCTCATGGGTCTTTAGTGTGGGAGCGTCATGCCTTCCACAGCGAGACAATGGAAACACAAGAAACCAAGGGCACCCTGGAGGCAAGCAGGGTGTTTCTTGGCATGGGTCTCCACTGTATCCCCTTATCACCGACACCCGCGGCCTTCTGCACGTTTTCCCCCAAAGCCGTAGGCGACCCGAGGAGGAGGAAGAGAGGAGGAGGAGGAGGAGGAGGAGGAGGAGGCACGCCAACTCGGAAGAGATCCGAGCGCGCCGAGACAGGACTAGGCACGGCAAAGGCGAGTGGAAAAGGAGGAGGATGAGGAGGATGAGGAGGAGGAGGGGCAGGAGGAGGAGGAGGAGGAGGAGGAGGAGGAGGAGGAGGGAGGAGGGAGGAGGAGGGAAGGGGAGGAGGGAGGAGGAGGAGGAGGAAGAGGAGAGAGGATCACAGGTCGCCTAAGCCCTTCGGAGAAACCCTCCACGCCCATCCCACCACATCGGCGGCGGGCAGCGGCGCACGCGGCCACGAGCCCGCTGCCCCAGCTTAGGCGCTGCGGACCAGCGCTCGAGGCCTGGCGCGGGCGCGGGCGCCAGCGGCGCCGTCGGTCCCTCGATGGCATCGCTGCCGCCGCCGGAGGTTTCGCCGGCGGACCTTGGCGGCCCGCACAAGGGGGTGGAGGGAGGGGGGAAGGCTTCTTAGAAGGAGGCTGCTTCTTAGGAGGCGCTGGCCCTACATCTACAGATAAGGCCCCCGCCTTCTGAGAAGCAGGGGTGCTTCTAAGAAGCCCTCCCACCTTCCCCCAACCCCTTCTGCGCGTGGCCGAAGACCGTCGCCAGCCGAGGCCCTCGTCGCCCGCCGTTGCCGGCGGCGGCCTCGCGTCGAGGGCGACGCCGTCGCCGTCGCGCAGCGGCGCCATCAGCGTCATCGACGCCGTTGCTCGTCGGCACCGTCGGCGTCGCCGTCGCAGTTGGCGGCCTCGACGCAGCGTCGTCGCTGCCGTCGGCGTCGTCGTCATCGGCATCGTCGTCGTCGGAGTCGTCGACGACCTTGTTGTCGTCGTTGAGGGCGGCGTCGGCCTCGCCGTTGCCGCGGAGGTCGTCGTCGTCCTCCTCCCCCTTCACAGATATCCTCTCCTTCCTGCTGCCGCTTTCCCACCGCTGGGACGAGGAGGCTGCGGCTGCTGCGTCTGCCTGTTCTCGCCCAGGGGAGCAGGCTGCTGCTCCTCTCCACAGAGGACTCGATTTTTGCTTCTGCTCCTACAGGAGGCTGGCAGACAGGGGGATGTGAAAGACTGTTAGGCGGAAAGGGCCACATCCGTCCTCCAATAGCTTAACTTTGCTCTCTTCATCCTCCTTCTAGCTCATCATCATCATCATCATCATCATCATCATCATCATCATCATCATCATCATCATCATCATCATCATCATCATCATCATCATCATCATCATCATCATCATCATCATCATCATCATCATCATCATCATCATCATCATCATCATCATCATCACCATCACCATCACCATCACCATCACCATCACCATCACCATCACCATCGCCAGCATCAGCATCATCATCATCATCATCATCAGCATCATCATCATCACCATCATCATCATCATCATCATCATCATCATCATCATAATCATCATAATCAGCATCAGCAGCATCATCAACCTCATCATGCTCATCATCATAATCAACATAAGCATCATCAGCATCATCATCAACATCATCAGCATCATCATCATAATCGTGAGTCTCAACATCGTCAGCAGCATCATCAGCATCGTCATCATGATCATCATGATCATCATCGTCAGCCTCATCCTCGTCGTCACCACCACCAATATCATCCTCACAACCACAAATATCATCATGACCATGATGATCATCATCAGCATCATCAGCATTGTCATCATCATCATCAGCATCAGCATCGTTATCTCAATCGTCATCATCATCATCATCATCATCATCATCATCATCATCATCATCATCATCAGGATCATCGTCACAATCCTCATATTCGTCGTCGTCATCATCATCATCATCATCATCAGCAGCATCACAACCATCATCATCGTCAGCATCGTCATCAACATCATCACCATCATCATCACCATCAGCATCAGCGGCATGATCACCATCATCATCATCATCGATCACAACAGTATCATCATCATCACCATCATCAGCAACAACATCATCAGTATGCAGTCGCATCACCATCGTCGTCATCATCATGATAAAAAACATCGTCATCAGTATCATCATGAATATCAGCATCATCATCATCATCAACAACATCAGCATCAGCATCACCATCAGTATCATCATCACCGTCATCAACATAGCCATCACCATCGTCATCATCATCGCCGTCGCCACCAACAACAACATTACAAAACACCATCACCATCACCATCCACATTACCACCATCATCATCATCATCGTCGTCAGCAGCAGCATCATCATCAGTGTCGTTGTCCCTCCATCTCCGAGGGAGGAACGGAGGAGGAGTAAGTGGAGGGGGAAGTCCTCCTCTTCCTCCTTCTCCTCCTGCTCCTCCTCCTCCCCTTGCTCCTTCCCCTACGTACGTACGCCTCCTCGGTAATCACCTAGCCTACCCCCTTACACTGCCACCTACCACGTCCTCCCTCCGCACTTCCTTCCCACCCCCCACCTTCAATCCTGGATCCTGCCCCACCTCCCTCCCCCCTGCCCTGCTCAGCCTGCCCCCGCTCTGGAATATCAGGACCCCCCAAAAGTCACCGCTGGGTTTTGAAACACGGGGTCACTGCCGGGCTTTGTGACTCCTGGGCCCACCAGCGTTCGGGACATCCTCGAAAAACCACACGAGCCCCCAAACCGGGTGGTGACACCAAATCGCCCGAGACTCACCGCCGGGTGCTGTCACCACCACGTCTGGGGACTACCACGTCTGGCGCTGGACCCCCCTCCCTGGCGCGCGGAGCGCGCCAGGGGCGGCGTCGGAGACGCCGCCGGGGGACCCCAGCGCCGATCCGAGAAATCCGCGCGGACCTCCGAGTTTTTATGTTTATGTCACTTTTTGTTCCCCTAACAAAACCTCGCAACCCCAGGTTCGCCGACCCCGAGGAGCAGTGCCGGCGCTCTCGCGCCGCCGCGGTTCAGCGCACGCGTCGTCTTCTGCACGGCCTGCACGGGTGCTCGCATTCGTCGGGTGCTGCAGGATGCCCAGCAGGGAAGCACCCGGCGCGGGGTCCGCGCCTTGCCTGCCTGCCTCCTCCTCCTCTTCCTCCTGCTGCTCCTCCTCTTCTTCCTCCTCATCCTCCTCCTCGTCCTGCTCCTCCCTGCGTAGCCGCCGCCACCGCCTCGACCTTTCCTTCCCACGCGCCTTCCCTTCTCCTCCCCTCTGCCTCGCCCGTTCCCTGCCTCTGGCAGACCTGCGCGCGTCTCACGGGGGCGCGGGGGGGTCGGAGTGGCTCACGCCCCCGGACCGCGCGCCCATCGCCTCCGCCTTCTGGCTCCCTCCCTGCTTTCTCACCCCCCCCTCCCAGTCCCTGCTAGTTTTGTTGGGGGTGTGCCCTGTTGACGGCTTCCCGGTGGGCTGTCGCCTCCCTCTTGGCTGCCTCAGAAAACCCTCCAGATGGGCGCGCACACACACACACATGCCGTGGTGGGCGGACCTCAGGCCGACACGCCTGGCCCTGGTGGACACCAGACCTGGGACGGGTCTGGTGCGTCGGAGTATCGGATTCCTGGACAGTGCCAGACAAACAAGTGAAGAGGAGCGAAGGAGAGGCGGCGACGGCGGCGACGACCCCCGGCGAACTGCCGAGGAGAACGCCGCCGCCGCCGCCGCAAGCGGAAGCACCAGCGGGCCTCGGGGCGGCTGTCATCCGCGCCGCCGGGCCCGTCCTCCTCCTGGGGCCGCGGGGGTCGTCGTGCCTGTCGTCGTCGTCGTCTTCGCCGTTCGCTCGTTCGTTCGTTAGCTCGTTCTTTCCTCGTCGTCGTCGTCGTCGGCGGCGGCGTCGTACTTTTCGTCGTCGTCTTCGTCGTCCTCGTCGGCGGCGTCGGCGACGTCGTCGCCGTCGGCCTCCTCGTCGGTGGCACTGGCATCGGCGTCGGCGTCGAGGTCGTCGTCGTCGTCGTCTTCGTGCTTGTCGTCGACGTCGTCTTCGTCGTCGTGCTCGTCGTAGTCGTTGTGCTTGTCGTCGCCGTGCTCGTTGTCGTCGTCGTCGCCGTTCTAGTCGTCGTCGTCGTCGTCGTCGTCACCATCGTCGTCTTTGTCGTCGTCGTAGCCTTCCTCGAGGTGCGTCCTTCCGTACGCATCCGTTCCCTCCTCATTCCCCCTTCCTCCTCCGCCTCCTCGTTCCTCCGCCTTCTCCCTCTCCAGAACCACTTCCACAAGCTTCTCCCTCTCCAGTTCCCTCTCCAGTTCCACCTCCTTTTCTTCCTCGTCCTCGTCCTATTTCTTGCCGTCTTCCTCCTCCTACTCTCCTACTCCTCCCAGTATTCCTCCTCCTGTCCCCCTCTCATCCTGCCTCCCTTCTTCCTGCTCCCTCCTCCCTCCGCCCTCCTCCCACGCCTATCCCCGCACCCCGCACCCCGCATCCGCTCCCTCCTCCCATCCTCTCCCCCCCTCCCCTTCCGCACTCCGCCTCCCTCCCCTCCTCTTCCCCTCCTGCGCCTCCCGTCCCTCTCCCTCTTCTCCACCTCCTCCCCAGCATCCCCCTTCTCCTCCTCATCCTGCCCCCCCGTCCTCCCCCCCCTCCTCCTCCTCCTCCTCCTCCTCCTCCTCATCATCGTCGTCGTCGTCGTCGTCGTCGTCGTCGTCGTCGCCGCCGCCGCCGCCGCCGCCGCCACACCACCATCATCACCACCACCACCACCACCACCACCACCACCATCATCATCATCATCATCATCATCATCATCATCATCATCATCATCAGCATCAGCATCACATCATCATCATCATCAGCATCATCATCATCATCATCATCATCATCATCATCATCATCATCATCAGCATCATCATCATCAGCATCATCATCATCATCATCATCATCAGCATCATCATCATCATCATCATCATCATCAGCATCATCATCACATCATCATCATCATCATCCACCACCACCACCACCACCACCACCACACCACCACCACCACCACCACCACCATCATCATCATCATCATCATCATCATCATCATCATCATCATCATCATCATCATCATCATCATCATCATCATCATCATCATCATTATTTCCTTTTCCTCCTCCCTCCCTCCTCCCCCTCTCCCCCTCTTCCCTCACTCCTCCCACATCCTTCATCCCTCCGCCATCCGCTCTACTCTTCCTCCCCCCCCTCCTCCTCCACCACCTCCTCATCTTCGCACGTGGCTCGGACCAGGTTTGTTCGGGATCACAGCTCCTCTACCTCAGCTTGCTGTAAAAGCTTAAGGCGAGCAGCACGAACCAACACAAGAATGTCATTGTGGAGTCCCGAAACGGTGCGGTAACAGACCGTGCGGTGACCTCGAAACCCCCAAAGACCTCACCGCACGGTCCGTCACCGCACGGTCTTGGGACCTCGGAGGCCCCCGTCGCCCGAGACGTCCTCGGAGAGGGGCCCGAGTCCCAAAACCCTGCGGTGACCCCGAATCCCCACCGACTCACCGCAGGGTGTGGTCACCGCCCCGCTTGGGGGCCCCCGAGTCATCGATATCGACCCTGGGCCCCCCCGAAGCGCGTTGCACACGTAAAGGCACAACACGAGCCCCTGGACCGCCAGGAGCCCGATTCGATTCCGGCGTGGCCCTCGCGGGACCCAGCCGAGGGCCCAGGACAACTTCACTGGAGCACTGGTGTTGCCGCGTTCTGGGGATCACCCCCAGAAGATCGAACACGACATGTAGTGCCGCTGCGAGTCCAAAACATCTGGGCACCCGAACTTACATGGGAAGTCGGTAAGAGTCATCCTCCTCGCCGTCGTCCACCCCCCCCACCCCCCAACCCAGACTGAATAGCCGCACTTTGCCATTCAGGAGGGATCGTCGCGAGACGCTCAAGCAGCCTCGGCCAGCAAATACCTGCTAAGGCCCGTTGGGAAGGGGAGGCGAACTGTTCGATGCGCTTGAAAGTGGCTGGGGAAAGGCTTTTCTCGTGAAAAGAAGGTCGCACGAGATCTGGCGAGAGTGCGCTGGGCAGGCACGCAAGGAACGTCGCGCTGCGCCTCCCCGAGAGCCTGCTCTCGCCAGCTCCTGCGCAAAAAAGGAGAGGCCGCCAGTGCGGGGGGCTCCACTTCCCAGACAGCCGCGCGACCATGGGGAGAGCAAGCTTCGGGGTCCGCTGCAGCTCGCCCCAGGGAGTCTGCCAATTGGGGACACTGCCGCGGGAAGAGCTCACAAGGGTGGCTACAGCCTGGGCCCACATTGAAAGAGGCTTGAGCTTCGACCACTGCCGCAGAGCCAAGAGCTGGTCGAGAGTGAAAGAGAACGGCGGCAAACGAAAAGACATGTGAAGCGCCCAAGACGTCCACTTGCGGGTGGCATCGGGGATCAGTAAGGGCTGGGAAAGCTAATTCGCCGGCCCAAAGGGCCAGAGGCGTGCTAAGATCTCTGGCAACAACTTAACAATATAACAAGTTCGCGCGCGCGAGGCGGCCCCTGGGGGCCCCGACGCGACAAGTACCCCGCCAAAAACCCGGCTAGTGCCTGCCAGAGATGCCGGAGGCCCCCCAGACGGCCCAAGAGGCGCCCAAGACGGGATCAAAAGAGCGCCCAGACGGTCCAAGAGCCCTTGGAGTCCTCGAAAGATCGGCCGACGATGCCACAAGATCGCTCCAAGACGCCCACCATGGCCTCCAGACGCCCCCAAAGGCCTCCAAAATCACTCCCAAGAGGGCCCCGAGAGGCAAAAATTTATTGATTTGCCTTAGGTTTTGGACACATTTTCGGGTTCTCCTTTTCGGCTTCCCGACGCTCCACGGCTCCCAAGATCGCCCCAAGAGGGTCCAAGAGGACCCCAAGACAGCCCCAAGACGGCCCAAGATGGCCCCAAGACAGCCCACGAGCCGCCCAAGACGGCCCAGCAGAGCCGCAAAACAGCCCAAAGAGGGGCCCAAACAGGTGACCAGGAACCACAAAGTCCAGCCTTCAGTCCCAAGAGGCCCCGGAGGCCCCAAGAGGCCCCCAAGAGGCCCCAAGGGGCCCCCAAGAGGCACCCCAAGAAGCCCCAAGAGGCCTCCAACAGGCCCCAAGAGGACCCAACGCGGCCCCCAAGAGGCCTCAAAACCGCCTCCCAAAAAGCCCCTGAGAGGCCAACCACGAGAGCCCAACCAACATCCGTGAGGCCTCTGACCCGCCGCCCACCGCCTCCAAAAAATGGCAGCCGCACAACCGCACCGCATTGACAACAACACCCCGACAAACGACAGCGGCGAGGCAATATGGGCCGGCGGAATGAGCGAAGCAATTAAATATAATCTCACCAACTCTTTAGGTCGCCGGTGGTCTAGGGAGGTTCCTCGTCCAACCCCCTTCTTCCCCTTCGGTGAAGGCGTTTATCACTGTTCCCTATTAATATACACCCCCTCCCCCACCCGGCCGGCGGCCAACCGGAACCATGCCAACACCATGCGGCCCACCCCACCCCCCCAGCATTCCTGCCAACAAACAATAGAATCCCTATGCGGCTCCCCCCACCATGAAAATCAAAAAGCAATACAAAGTACACCTTGGGCCAAAGTCTAGAGTCACGTCCGTGAGGCCCGCGAGAACTTCGCATTGGCTTTGACAAGGACGGCGGAGGTGACAGCATATTCCCTGCTGTGCGCAGGGCTACCATCCCTGCCAGAAACCAGTACAAAATGCACCTCACGGCCAAATCTGGATCATGCGCGGCTACCCCGTGATCGCTGCCAAGTGGATTTGACAAGAACGGCGGGGGTGGTGGCGCGTGGCCTGTTGTGCGCAGGCCCACCAGACACAATGATAGGCAATGGTTTTCGGCAAGAATGGTTGGGGCCGACATGTTTCCCGATGTATGCTGTCACGTGCGCAGACGCACCTGACGCACTCTGCACGTGCCCCGAACGTGGCACGGCGCGGCTGAAGTGTGCGGCACACCTGGCGCACTCGGAGCACGTGGCGCATCTGGCGCACCAGGCGTGCCTGGCACGCTCGGGCCCCAGGGGTGCCTGGCGCGCGTGGCGCCCCTGGCACGCGTGGCGCGCCTTGCCCAAGTGTCGCGCACCTGGGGTCGGCTTTGGTTACCAGTAGCTGTCCATCCAGAGACGGCCGCTGAACATGCTCAGGCTCGGATGTTTCTTATGTGTTGGGAGGGCGGGTGGGAATGAGCTAGACGGCTGCTCTTTCTCCTCTTCCTTCCCCTCCCACTCCCCCTCCTCCTCCTCCTCCCCCTCCTCCTCCCCCCCTCCTCCTTCTCGTCCTCGTCCTCCTCCTCGTCCTCGTCCTCGTCCTCCTCCTCCTCCTCCTACACCTCCTCCTCCTCCTCCTCCTCCTCCTCTCTCATCTTCCTCCTCCTCCTCCTTATCATCATCTCCTCCTCTGTCTCCACCTCTTCCTCCTCCTCCTCCTCCTCCTCCTCCTCCTCCTCCTGCTCCTCGTCCTCCTCCTCCGCCTCCTCCTCCTCCCTCTCCTCCTCCTCCCCCTCCTCCTCCTGCTCCCCCTCCTTCTTTTCCTCCTCCTCTTCCTCCTCCTCCGCCTCCACATCCTCATCATCATCATCATCATCCTACTCCTCCTCCCCCTCCGCATTATGTACCATCATCATCGTCATCACCCTCCCCCTCATCATCATCGTCATCGTCATTTCAGCAGCAGCAGCATTAGCATCATCAGCCTCTCACCATCTCATGATCAGCAGAAGCAGCATCATCCATCAGCGTCATAATCATCATCAACATCATCACCATCATCATAAGCATCGGCATCATCAGCATCATGCGTGCCGTCATCATCAGCAGCTGCAGCGTCATCATCATCATCATCATCAGCAGCAGCATCCGCATCATCATCGTCATCATCAGCAACAACAGCAGCATCCTCACCATCATCATCATCATCATCAGCATCATCAGCATCATCCGCATAAGCATCAGCATCAGCCCAATCATCATCATCATCGTTAGCATCATCATCCACGTTCACTTTGTCTTCCGCAGCAGCTTCATCAGCAGCATCAACAGCAACACCATCATCAGCATCATCAGCAACATCATCATCGTTATCCTCATGATCAACTTTGACCACCTCTCCCTACATCATGCTCATCATCATCATCATCATCATCATCATCATCATCATCATCATCATCATCATCATCAGCATCACCATCATCATCATCATCATCATCAGCAGCAGCAGCATCAGCAGCGTCAACATCAGCACCATGAACTCCCCTCCTCCGCCTCATCCATCATCAACATCAGCATCAGGATCATCATCATCATCATCATCAGCAACAGCAGCATCACCATCAGCATCATCAACATCAGCATCAACATCATCAATATCCTTATCATCAAGGTGCTCCTCCGCCTCCCTCATCATCATCCTGCTGCCCTCCTCCTCCTCGTCCTCCTACTCCTCTACTCCTCTGTTTCTTCGTCCTCCTCCTCCTCCTCCTCCTCCTCCTCCTCCTCCTCCTCCTCCTCCCTCCTCCTCCTCCTCCTCCCCCCCCCCACCCCACCCCACCCCTCCTCCTTCTCCTCGTCCTCCTCCTCCTAATCACCCTCCTTCTCTTCCTCTTCCTCCTCCTCCTCCTCCTCCTCCGCCGTCTCCGTCTCCTCCTCATCCTCCTCCTCTCCCTCATCCTCGTCCTCCTCATCATCAGCAGCAGTATCAGCATCATCCGCGTCATCAGCATCACCATCATCACCATCGGCAGCATCATCACCAGCATCACCATCATCATCATCAGCATCATCATCAGCATCATCAGCAACAGCAGCATCCTCATCATCATCATCATCATCATCATCATCATCATCAGCAGCAGCATCATCATCCCAGCATCAACAGCCGCAGCATCACCAGCATCCATCAGTACCCCCATCACCATGCTCAGTATCAGCATCATCAGCATCAGTATCATCAGCATCATTATCATCCACGGTCTCCTCGTCCTCCTACATCGTCATCAGCAGCATCATAAACAGCATGTTCATCAGCATCATCCACTTTTTCCACATCCTCCATCATCATCATAATCATGTTCAGCATCAGCATCATCATCAACAGCTTCATTACCAGAATCATGATAATCGGCATGATCATTCACTTCCCCTCCTCCTCCTCCATTATCATCAGAATCATTGTCATAGTCATCATCATCATCATCATCATCATCATCATCATCATCATCATCATCATCACATTCAGCATCATCATCATCAACATCATCATCAGCATCAGCATCACCATCACCATCAACTGTATATTCCTCCCCCTCCATTATCATAAGCATCATTATCATCAGCATCATCATTATCATGATGATGATCATCATCATCATCAGCAAGCATCCTCATCATTATCATCAGCATCATCGTCATCAGCATCATCAGCATCATCAGCATCAGCATGAGCACCATCATCATCATCACCACCATCATCACCATCCTCATCCTCATCCTCATCCTCATCATCATCCTCATTCTCATCCTCATCCTCATCCTCATCCTCCTCATTATCATCATCATCATCATCGTCATCATCATCATCATCATCATCATCAGCATCAGCATCATCATCATCATCATCATCATCAGCATCATCATCATCATCATCATCATCAGCACAGCATCAGCATCATCATCATCATCATCATCATCATCATCATCATCATCATCATCCTGCTCCTCCCCTCCCTCCTCCTCCTCCTCCCTCCTCCTCCTCCTCCTCCTCCCCCCCCCTCCCCTCCTCCTCCTCCTCCTCCTCCTCCTCCTCCTCCTCCTCCTCCTCCTCCCTCCTCATCCTCCTCTCCTCCTCCTCCTCATCCTCATCCCCATCCTCATCCTCATCCTAATCCTCATCCCCCCCCCCTCCTCCTCCCCTCCTCCTCCTCCTCCTCCTCCTCCTCCTCCTCCCTCCCTCCTCCTCCTCCTCCTCCTCTCCTCCTCCTCCCTCCGCCTTCCTCCTCTTCCTCCTCTCCTCCTCCCTCCTCCTCCTCCTCCTCCTCCTCCTCCTCCTGCAGACCTCTTTGTGCGCGCCGCCCCCGACGACGGACCGCGGCGGGCGGCGAGCGAGCGGAGGCGGCGAGCGGCGGAGCCTCGCCGCCCGCGTCGCCCGCCGCCACCGCTGGGGCGGGGCCCGCCATGCCCCGGGCCCTGGCGGGCCGAGGCACCGAAGGTCGGGGATTCACGACGGGGGTTATTTGACGAGATTCGGCGCCTGGGGGCCCTCCAGACGAAATCAGGGCGAGGATACAATCGGGTGAGGATAAATCGAGAATCTCTGAGATCTGGCGGCTTTGGAGGATGTCTCGGGCGCCGCGGCCTTCTCAAAGCGTTCCGGAACGCTCTGAGAGCGTTTGGAACGCTCTGGAACGGATTCCTGGAACGCTCTGGAACGGATTTATCCTCGTCCTAACCCCGTCCGAGCCCGTACCAGGCCTCAGCGCCGTCAGATAACAGCTCGGGATGCGTAGCCGGTTCCGGGGAAGGGGCCCAGACCTCTGACTCTGGGGGTCCACGCTGTCAGCAAGAGTCAAGTCGTCGGGGCTCTTGGGTTGGGGGGGGTGGGGGGGAGGCAAACACAGTAGCAATGCCATGCCGCCGTGGGGAGCCATCAGCGTGCTGCCGCCGGAGAAGCAGCAGGCGGTCGGGCGAGAGGGAGAGAGAGGGGCAGCACCTCGTTGGGCTCCCAGCGGCAACGCGTCACTGATGCTCTCTTTCCCTCCCAGCTCGGGGGTCCGGGGCTGGGGCCCGCCGCGCCCGGAGGCCCTGGCGGGCCGAGAGGCCAATTTCCGTCGTCTGGAAGGGAAGGGAGTGTGCTCCTCCTCGTCGTGGCCGTGGTCGTGGTCTCGGTCGTCGTCGTCGTCGCCGCCGTCGTCTTCGTGGAGGCGTGGGGGCCATCCGAGAACCGACGGGACGCGGACAGGGAAGGGGACGGGCACGGCGACGGCAACGGGGACGGGGAAGGGGACGACGACGACGACGACGACGACGACGACGACGACGACGACGACGACGACGACGGCGACGCGGAGAGAGGGAGAAAAGCGGGGAAGGGACAGAGGGATCATGGGGGGGGGACTGAGGGAGGAGGCGGAGCAGGGCGATGGATGGTTGGTGTCCCCACCCCCCGCGGGCGGAGCAGGCGGAGGCCACCGGCTTGGCCTGCGGGCCCGGGAGGGCGACGCTGGCGACCCTGCACCGACCGCACGGGAGCCTTCTGCTGCAGCCCGAGCTGCCACCCGTCCCGACCCAGCCCGTCCCAACCCAGCAAGGACCGGCAGGGACGACGACGACGACGACGACGACGACGACGACGACGACGACGACGACGACGACGACGACGACGACGACGACGACGACGGCGACGACGACGACGAGGGGAGGCAGGGAGGGACGGAGCCAGGGAGGGACGGAGAGAAGGAAGGAGGGACGCGGTGGGCAGCCAAACGAGCGGCACCGCCTGACCGGACCGAGTAGGGGGGGGCCAAGGTGGGCCGCCGAGGTCGTGCGGTTGCCCCGACGCTCGGGGCTCTGCCCGACTCACCAGCCGCTGCCCTGCCAGCGCACGGCGAAAAGACGCAAGTACGAGACCAGGGGGTTCCTAAGTTCGCGCTTCGCGCTGCGCGAAGCGCGAATAACTTCGCGCACTCGCGCCGACCCCCAGGGGAGACGAGGAGGATGAGGAGGAATCGGCGCCGAACTGCGAAGCGCGAATAATTTCGCGCCCTCGAGGGCGCCCTTGGAGTTTCCGACACTGTAGGGAGACTGAGCCACCCCTGCAAGAGAAGCACCCTGACCCGAGCCCGCACCCGAAACCCAGGACCATCCAGCGCGGTCGCTGGAGACTAAAAAAGGGGAGGCGGGAGGGAGGGCCAAAAGGGAGGCCTAACTCGTTTTCCCCAGGGTCTGGGAGACTCCGGCTCGGGGGACACAGGCTGGCATGACGGGGCCATCATAAAGATGACGAGACCCCCTCCAGAATTTGACGCGAACTCACGCTGCAGAGATCCTGCGAAAAGTTGAGCAGGGACCGACCGTCCTGGCATTCCTGTGGTCCTACCACGTATTGTTCTTAGAGCTCAAAAAAGTTCTAAGAAACAAAAACGATGTTCTTGGAACATGAACCCGATGTGATAAAACAAGACAGACTCCGCCAGAAATGTTCTAAGATCATTTCGTGGGAACCACAAAAGGTTATTAGAACATTGTTTGGTAGGGCTGTAGGCGAGCCAGGACGCTTCGCCACTGTTTGGAAAAGTGTGCCGCCCAGATCCAGAGCGAGCTCGTCGAACAGTGCTGGCAAACTCGAGTGCCAGCGCCCTCGAGCCCTACGCTTCCCCGACAGGAGGGTCTCCGCCGCCCTCGCGAGCCCGCGCGCCGGGGGGTAATGAAGAGCGCACGATACGAAAACGAGCAGGGCTGCCTGCTCCCCAAGAAGCAACACGGGCTCCCAGCTTCGCGCTTCGCGCTGCGCGGAGCGCGAAATGCGAATAACTTCGCGCTCTCGCGCCGCGTCCCAGGAGAGAAGAGGACGATGAGGAATCCGAGCCGAACCGCGAAGCGCGAAGCGCGAAGCGCGAAGCGCGAACAACTTCGCACCCTCGAGGGCGCCCTTGAAGCAAGCGGTTAGCCCAGCGCTGTGAATCAGCCAAGCCACAGAGATCCCCATGGGCAGCGCAACCGGCCAAATGATCAACACGCTCCAAATGATCAGCCAAAGGATTGGCACCGTTCAGGAATGTTCCGGCATTGCTCTCGACCTTCCTGGAGAGAGCCTGCCCAACAACCCGATCCAAAGTGTGGCGAAGCCGCAGACCTAGTCGAAAGCGTGCCCTCCCTCGAATGTGGCCGGCCAACGCCAACCGCATACTCCGAGCCATATTCGGCGACGATAGATGATGGAGAAGAGGACTGGCCCACGGAAACCCGATGAGCTCCGAGACCGGAGCAATAGGGCACCTGCGAGGGACCCAGCCGTGCACGCGGTTCTCGACGGCCACGCCGCCCCCCCCCAACCGGCGAATCTGCAGGGGTGCCAGCAACGGAAGGGGGGAAGGGGAGGCAGGAGGTGAGGGGCAACATCGGGGGGGATGGGCACAGGGGGGACGTATCGACATCAAATGGCCGATGCATCGCCTATGCATCGTCTATTCATCGTCGATGCAAGCCGCCCCACGTATCGTCGATACATCGACGCTACATCGCTGTGATATGAACAGTGCACCGTCGATGTCTCAACCACTCGAGAGATCGACGCATCCCCCCCACTGCCTATCCCCCCCCATCGTTGCCCTCGAGGAGGGGGAGGCGGAGGGAAGGGAGAAGAGAGAGGACGGGGGGACGGTGGGAGGCGAGGGGTGGTGGGACGCCTACATGGGCAACGGCGCCGTCTTCGATGCTAGCACTGAGAGGCGGGCAAACAGATCAGAAGAGCAGGCCTGCTGCGGGAGCCTGAGGGCACTGGCAAGGCTGAGGGCGCCTCGCCACGGAGCACGTCGCCGATGATCGGCGGCACGTTTGGCCTCCCGTCTCAGCCCGGCCTCCCTCCGGCTGGCAGCGGTTCGCGCGAACTGCGGGGAGGAGAGGGGGGTCGGGCGACGGGGACCCTCGGCCCCCCCCCCCCCCCAGCCCCACCATGCGCCAGGGCGGCGTAGGCCCCCGGGTCCTCCCCGGGCGCCAGGCGCACCGGAGAGCCTGCTCTTGGCCGACGCCGCTGGCACTGCAGGCTTGCACGCGGAAAGCACACGGAGAATTGACTACCTACCAGACCACCCCAACCCAACCCGAAGACCCGAATTTCGGGTTGGGGGGGGTAAGGGTTCCACACGTGTTTTTTCGATGTTTCCCGACACCCCCCCCACTGGAAATCGAGGGTAAATCTGAGCCTTCGGGTTGGGTTGGGGTGGTTTGGTGGGTGGTGGAGAATGGCGACGAGGAGGCAGGAGCGAAGGAAAGACAGAGCGCTGGAGTCGCGCGCGCTGCGCGAGGGAGCCTGCCCGTGCCCAGTTGGGGGGAAGGCGTGGAGGCCGTGGCGGCAAAAATTCGGTACGTAAGCAGAGCCTTGTAAAACCGGGGAGACGTAAGACCCGGGTACGGGGGACTCGGAAATCCCCGACGAGGTCGTCAAAAAAATGACGAGGCCGAGCCTGCATTTTGACGAGGCCTCCCGCTGCAGACATCCCACGAAACTCCTCCTCGTCAAAATCCGAGTCGCGGTCGTCAAAAAACGATGGCGAACCCGAGTCCCGGCAAACCCGGGTCTTACGCTCCCCCGATAAAAGCCACCATTCACTGCCCACTGCCGCCGATAACCATCGTAAACCGTTTGTGCTGTTTTGCTCGTGCCGTCTCGGCATGGTCGCTGCTGATGAGGAAGGAGGACGGAGGAAAGTAGCTCGGAGCACGTCTGCCGCTCAACGGATCACCCTTGCTACGCTCTGCGGCGTACGCAGGCTCTCGGGCCCGCCCCCCCGTTGTAGAGGCAAGGGCACCTAGCCGCGCACCCTGCCGCTGGGGCGAGGCGGGGGAGGGGAACGAGAGAGGACGACGAGTTCGACGAAGACAACAACGACGACGACGACGACGACGACGACGACGACGACGACGACGACGACGACGACGACGACGACGGCGGCGGCGGCGGCGGCGGCGGCGGCGACGGCGACGGCCACGGCGACGGCGACGACGGCGGCGGCGGCGGCGACGGCGACGGCGACGACGGCGATGGCGACGGCGACGGCGACGGCGACGGCACCAGCAACGGCGGCGGCGACGGCGGCGGCCACGGCGACGGCGACGACGGCGGCGATGGCGACGGCGACGGCGACGGCGACGGCGACGGCAACGGCGACGGCGACGGCGACGGCGACGGCGACGGCGACGGCGCCGCCGCCGCCGCCGAGGCCGAAGGCGACGGCGACGCCGCCGACGACGGCGACAAACCTCGCCGGGCGAGGCCGGCAGCGCCTCCGCCTGCCACCGCCGGCATGGGCGGCCCCGCGGCGCACGGCGGCGCCGGGGGGGGGGGCGCTCCCCGGAGCCGCTCGCGGCCGGCGGCGCGCCAGAGAGGTGGAGGAGGAGGAGGAGGAGGAGGAGGAGGAGGAGAAGGAGGAGGAGGAGGAGGACGACGACGAGGAGAAGGAGAAGGAGGTCGCCGCCCGCTTTGCATGACTTCCCTTTGCATTGTTTCGCATTGCTTTGCATTGAATTAAATCGCTTTGCATCGCAATTGCATTACGTC